TATATATATATATATATTTAGGGTGTAAGAAGTACTGTAGAAAAATTGGAGAATCGCAAACTTTCTTTGATGGAACGATGTACGGCTCATAAAGAAGAAAATTTGGAGGTTTCGAGTATACTTGCTACATTTTTAGAGAAGCACGATGCATTACAAGCTTGGCTAACTGATATCGTTAAGATCTTTCTTCAAAAACATCAAGATATGGGCAACGATCTGACAATGGCATGCGATTTTCATCAAATTCATTATCAATTGCTAGCCGAATTGGAAAATAAAAGTGAGGAAGTAAATCATTTAGAATTGGAAATTCTTCCAATCATAGAACGCCTGGACGAAGTGCAGAAATACGAATTACGATTAAAAATAAAAAATCTTGAAAACGAATGGGCAAAAACAAAGATTATAATGATAAAAAGAATCGAATTGGGTACCATTTATATACAGTTTCATGAGATTGTGGTAGAATTAAATAATGAAATGAATTCTATCGATAATGAATTGAAAAAGTACGAAGATATATTAGATGAAGCTAGTTTCAATAAACTAGAAGCAAGATGGAAGTCTTTTGAGCTTCTTTACAAAAAACTTGATAAACATGCAAAGGCATTTCTTAATGAAACAAACAACGTAAGCAACTCATATGTACAATATTTTTTAATTTTTTAATTTTAATAAGAATATCTATATGCTATTATTTTAAGAAACTTAATTAAGATCGGTATTCATAGTCGGTTGTTATTTCAAAAATGCCTCAAGTATTATATCTTAAGATACTAATATGACTTTGTGATTGGCTTATGGTCGTTTTAAGACTATGTTTAAGACGATCTTAAATATATAAGGAATCGACTATAAATACTAGTCTAAGCTATACAAAAAATATATAAAAATATATAAAAATATATAAAAATTGCATCCATATTATTTTTTCTTGTAGATGACTGATGACCATTATCTCAATATATCGCAAGCTTGTTTGTGCGTTCAGACTCTTTTAGAAAAATTTGCTAATCGGCAATTGGTTTTAACGGAATCGTGGAAAAAATGGCAGACTACTATTCAAATAATAAGACAAAGGCGAATGGAATATGAGCAAAGAGTAGAAGAAAGTACAAAGGTATGACTTCTAATTTATGTTGTCAAAATTTTATTATTATTATTATTTTTTTACAATGCCTTTTATCTAATTGTTAGATTTGTATTTAGTATTTTTATAAAACTGTATAAAACTGTAATTTGTATTGTATTTGTATTTTTAATTTTATTGTTTTTAATTTATTTTTAGTACATTAAAATAAGACAAAAGAAAAAAAGCGTAGAAAAATGTTCGTAAAAGTATCTATGTCATTTATTCTATTTATCTATTTGCTAATTTTTATTATTACTAATTTATTTTATTGCAGACATTAGCATGGATTACAAAATTTGAGATGACGCTGTATCCAGTGATAACAACACGATCTTCTGAAATAGTCGATATTTTAGATAATTTGGAAGATGTAAGGAAACAAAATTTATTCGAGTTGAACAAAGCTCTTCAGGAATTGAATATTCAAATCAAAAGCATTCAAGTATTTGTCGAACGAGGTAATTAGAATACATTTATGCTATTTGTTATGTGCACTTAGGAAGACATACCTTAATTAAAATAATTAAATTAGGTGAAGTAAAACCAGATGAGCAAGTTTTAGGAAGATTCGTGCAAATGTATGAAAAAGTGAACACTATCATCAAAGATTACGAAATATTATTGGAATCTTTAATTTTTATCTTTAGGAATCTTGAAGAGGTGAGACAGATTTTTAAATATTTTAAACGCAATACAACGCCATTTAGCTTGCGCATACGTCAATATCAAATATGTAAATATTTTTTATTCATCGCTTTTTAAAGATCGAGCGTAAAATTGATGAAGCAAAGCAAGAAGTTGAACGTGTGTTAAGTTCTACAAAGCTGATTGATGTAGACGGTTCATTAAACAAACTTAACATATTAAAAACATCTATTACGGAATTTTTACTACAAATACGCACAAAATCTGAAGAAATAATTGACAATATTAGACTACAAAAACCGTTAGAATCAGCAACACAAGATGTTGAAAAACTAAAACGCACAATAGATTCTGTGAACGTTAAATTCGAATTGTTTCAAACCGAAACATCAATCCATCTCGAAAAACATCGATGTCTCTGTATTTTTAAAGAGGATATTGAAAAGATTAATTTTGATCTACGTGAATTAAACGAACAGCTAAAAAATATGGATGGAAGAATTGGTGACAATCTATCGGTATCAAAAGCGACGTTGGTTGCTTTCGAACAGTTTGAACAAACGATAACGGTATGCAATACTATTAAGATAACCTCGCAATTACGAGATTACGAGAGGCATATAATGTTAATTTATATATTTGTTACTAGATTTTGGAAGAAAGAATTGAGACTTTTGTAAAAAAAACAGAAGAAACAATTGTTCCATTAACTCCACAAGTAACGGATGAAATTTTATCTTTGCGAGACAGATGGGATCATCTAAGGAAACATGTTAGGGATACCAAGAAGAGAATGAATTTAAGTATTGAATATTTCATGCTTTTAGAAGAAGCCAAGCAGTGGTTTAGGGAAGGTAGCAAACTTTTGGTGATTGTTGCACGTAAAGCAACAGCCATAAAAATGCCTGAAGAGGCCGTCGATTTACTGCGAGAAATTGATGCTTATATAAAGCCAGGTGAAGAGAAGCAGGAAAAAAGAATTGAGAAGCTGAAACAATTATCGACAATAATTTTCGGTAAAAGCACATTTATGGAATCATAAAAAAATTTATATATCAAATAAAACGAATAGAAAAATAAATATGAAAAATGATCCGTTTGCAATATGTTTTAGGTACAGACAGACTTCCGCAATTCAACGAAGTGGTAGTAGAGAATCGGCAAATGCTAGATTCCTTCGTAGTTATTTCTTCCGAGTTGCATACCCTGAGTCAAAATTTACAGAATGCCAAAGATGTCCGAGAAAAGTTACGAATCGAGAAGTTAGAAGCTGATAAAAAGCTACAAGCTGCTAAAATAGAAATAGCCGCGGCGGAAGCTGCAAAAATGGAAGCGGAAAATGCAAAAAAACTTGCGGAACAGCTTACCGCCGAGACTTTAGACAAAGCTGCGATAGAGGCAAAAAAATTAAAAGAGGAAGAAGCACGAAAAATTGTTGCTCCCATTTCTCACTCCGTCTCCGCTCAAACTGATGAGACTATAATTGAAGAAACAATTACTTCCGCCATGACAACGAAAGAAATTCATATTCTTCAAAAAGTATTTTAAATAATATATATTTCAATTATTATTAATTCTATAACCGTAATGCTTATACAATTTATGCTTATAATTATAGATGGAAATCGAGAAAAATACTCCAGTTTTTCGAAAGGAAACTAGTCCACCAAGAAAGCTTGTATCTGAAGAGATATCCGACGAATTGCATGAATATACCAAAGAAGCAAAAATAAACAAAATTGTTTCATTAGCTCCAGAATTTACGGTTCCTTTGAATGATGTGACGGTTCAAGAAGGTCAAAAATTCACTTTTCAATGTCATCTAATTGGTCAGCCGGTACCAGAAATAATATGGTACAAAGATGGAATATCGATTTTGAATAATCCAGATTATTTAACAACTTATATAAACGGCGTTTGTACTTTAAAAATAGAAGAAACATTCGCTGAAGATTCTGGCAAATACACTTGCCGTGCATTTAATATTCATGGCTCTGTCGAAACATCGGCCATTCTCACTGTCAAAGGTAATTGATTTAGAGAAAGTACATGCATATATGCCAATACTCAATTAGTTGAATTTATGTTGAAAACTTTGTATGTAGAAATGATCACGAAAGAACAGCCAAATGCTCCCGTTTTCATGAAAGAATTGCAGCCCTCCTTTGCGAGGGAAGGATGTTCTCATAATTTAGAGTGCACTGTTAAAGGAAATCCTCTTCCAACAGTACAATGGTACAAAAATGATAGTAACATTGATAATTCTCCGGACTATATTATCACGTTTAATAATGGAGAAGCTGTTCTGAAATTCGATGAAGTTTTCTTGGAAGACAAGGCTTTATATACATGTAAAGCAACAAACCAATGGGGACAGTCATCTACTACTGCTTTTCTAGACGTGAAACGTAAGTCTCTTGATGGTGATGAACTGGTAGTAACGCATTAAAAAAAGTGTGTATTTTCTTTTTATTTACATAAATATTAATTGTAGCCGCACAAATTTCCGTAAAGAAGCCATATTTCGTGGTACCGTTATCAAATGCTATGGCCAGGGCAGGGCAAAGAGTAAAACTAGAATGCGAAGCTAACGGAGATCCAGTTCCTGAATTAATCTGGACTCACGATGGAAAATTAATTGAAGAAAGCAAATATTATAAAGTAAGATAAACCTGCATAATCGTTTTGTTACACTTAACAAATATACTTACAATGTGATCACATTTCTGGCCGTATTTATTTAGATTCAAACGGACGGTGCTCGAACGAGCTTAATCATTACGAAAGCTTTTCCGAAGGACGCCGGTTCTTACATGGTGACTGCCAGTAATGAAATTGGAAAAGCCACCGTATCTTGTACCGTTTCCGTGAAAGGACGTTTGCTTCATGAGACCAGCGAATCCGATTTTGTTTGTAGCGACATTTCGAAACCAATAGTCCCGAAATTTCAGTTATCTTTGCAGGATCTTAAAATTCAAGAAGGACAATCAGCGAGATTAGATTGCGTGATTGTAGGTCAACCTGAACCGGAGGTAGATTTTATCTATTTCTAAATTTTTCATCTTAAAATTTCTTTTCCCATTAATTTTGTGACTTTCTAGGTAATTTGGTACCACGATGGACAGCCCGTAAAAGAATCATCAGACTTTCAATTACTCTTCCAAGGTGATCGGTGTTCATTAATTATACATGAAGCTTTTTTGGATGATGCCGGTGTATATAAAGTAGTTGCTATCAATTCTGGTGGCGAAGCTTCTAGCCAGTGTACATTAACAATTACGCGTACGTTATTAAAAATTTAATTTTTTAATTAGAAATGTAATACTTTTTATATAATACGTACTTTTTCTTGCATTTCACATCGTAGCGGCATCTCACGTTTCGAATGTAATCGATCAAGTAAAGGAAAAGGAAGAAATTTTGGCCAGTGATTCCGTTCCAAAGTTCGTCAAACTTCCAACGGACTTGCTGGTGGCTGAAAGCGAAGATGCAATTTTCGAATGTATCGTAATTGGCGAACCTAAACCTGATTTAAAATGGTACTCAGACGACGGTGAAATGATTCATAACGGAAGAATTTTGGTGAGCATATTTGTGTATATTTGGCACAGATTGCATTTTATTTAACGTTCACTTAAATATATAACTATAATATATTTATAGTTATATAAATAACCATAATTAATGTGTTATCTAAAATTGTCACAATGCAATAGGTTGGAGAAAGGAAAGATGGAACAGCTTTTTTGAAAATATCATCAACGATACCGGAAGATAAGGGCAATTATGTGGCGAAAGCAAAAAACATACACGGCGAGGCAAAAGCTTTCGCTAGATTAGTTGTAAAATCGCTTGGTGATTTTAAAAGGAATGAAGAATTTATTCAGATGGAAGAAAAGCTGATTCAACCAATATTCAAAGAAACCTTTCAGGATAGAAAAATACTCGAAGGAGTTTCAACAAAATTCGAATGCATCATCACTGGTAAACCTTCTCCTAAGGTAAATTAAATACAATATATGATTTTTCTAAAAATTACATTTTTTTTATCATGTTCTCGCATAAGAGATAAAACAAATCTTCACATTCTTTTTAAAAATTAGCCATCTACACTGAAAAATCTTCAAAAATGATAAAAAAATTAGGCTGACAAAATTAGGGGACATAAAACTTTCATTAACTTAGAATTTGTCAATATAATGGTAACATGACTACAGTTCTTGAGAAACTAAGCTTAGAAGTATATATTATTGTATATACAAAGAAAAGTGCTGCAAAAAAAGAATCGGACATTTCAGTTTATAATAATTAAAAATATCGCAATATATTTTTAGTACACAATTGTAATAATCTGCATAGATTCTAATTAATAAAACAGGCAACTAATATAAGCAATATCAAATGTTATAGAGAAGCAAATTTAATAAAATATTATGTCGTACATATTTAATTTTGATTTGTAAAATTGCCTCAAGCACTATTTAATGAACGTAAGCAAGATTACTTGATTTGTGATTATTGAAATTTTGCGTTTTAAAATTTGCATTGGTCATGAAAACAACGTCTAGATGAGAGGTTGGCCGGCCTGTCAGAACGGGGCAAAAGTAATTTTGTTTCCGACGAGTTATATTTAAACGCGAACAATATACTTCATGTGCAAAAGCTCGATTGCAGTCGCGCCGCGGAGCATAAGATGGAACTTTCAATGCGGTGCGAAGCACCGTGGACTTGTCACAGAGGTATCACGTACTTCGATAACATCTTTTTCATCTCCTCTAAAATTATATAAATTGTCGAATATAGCGGAAATGCTCATATATATTTTTCCTTCACGTATATATATGTTTTAGTTTTTATTCGATTAATTAACGGCAGATTTTATTACTAAATTTTTTTTACAGGTTCAGTGGTTGTTTAATGAGCGGCCGGTTCATGGGAAAGATTTTTTAGTTTCTGTTAGTGGGGATCGACAAGTTTTGACAATTCCTGAGGTCGGAGATGCACATGCTGGTACTATTTCTTGTGTAGCAGAGAACGCGGCTGGTAAAGCGATTTGTAGTGCTAAAATCGAAATTGGTAAGTTAATATTAAGTACACATTTTTACATTATATTTCATATATATATATATATATATATATATATGTATATATATACACCTTTCATTGATAATTCATTTTACAGTTTTGTGATAACATAATTATATTTTAATTTTTTCATTTTCTTCTGAAATGTTGGAAATAATATTAGAAAATGCAATGGTGTCACAAGTTATTAATACTTATGTTACTCAGTCCAATGTAGTTCATTCAAAATTCCCAGTTAACGATAGATAAAATAACCATTCAATAAGAATCGATAAAAGATACTAAGCATACTAACCGCATCGTGAAATTTGATATCTTCATTTTTACTTTGAATTAAATGCTTTTGATCATTAATTGTAAATATATATATATATATATATATGTATATGTGTGTGTGTGTGTGTGTGTGTGTTTATTTAAGTTAATATATATCAATGTAGAATATATTTTATTCAGTTATTTATACATTTAAAAATTGAAAAAAATTTTTAAATCACAAAATAATCTGATGTACGGCTTCTGGATTTATTAAAATTGTTTAATAAATAAATAAATAAGAAAGAATACTAAGATATAAATAATTATACGAAAAAGTCTAAAGTGATATTGCTTATCGGATATCGACCGTAATATGCGTGCATTATTAAAGAGTATAGAATGACAACGATAAATTAGGTCTTGGGTTATATATTGCAGCCGAGTGCTCGATTCACCTATTACTAGGTGAACGATACTATTTTTGTCGTGGATCGGAGGCAAAGTATTTCGTTACTTCGCTGGGAGCATTTCGACCGTACGGTTGGTACGCTCCAGTCTTGATTTCTTTATATCATCTTACATTTACAAAGTGTACATTATATTATTATAATAAAACATAGTTTTATTCGTGGAAATGGTTTTTTTCTAATATAATTTCTTTTTATTTATTTAATAAGTTTGGCAATTATTGTTTAAATAATCAGATAAAATACGAAAAAAATACTGAAATAATTATAATTATAATAATATTAATAATAATAATTTTATAAAAAATAAACGTTTTACAAATCTAAACTTTTTAGTAATAAAATAGAATGTATTGTTTATTTTTTTTATAATCATCAATTGAAATATTAGCTACATATCTCTCAAAGTGTATTGTATCAAAAGAATGTAATCGTTTTATTGACATAATTGGATTAATTTCCAGATAATGGATTAGTGAAGCCGGCTGCAAGTGAAGTAAAAAAAGTGTTTGAGTTAGTTCCACATTTTCCTGCAGGCATTATGCATCCTGCAAACAGTAGCGATAAACACTTTTTAAGTGAGAAAACATGTCACGAAGATGGTGGTGAGAGTCAAGTGCTGACCAAAATGTCGTCAACTGTAACACATTCTTCAACAAAGTCCATGAAAAAAGAATTCTTATCGTCTACTATGACTTCCACTTTATCACAATCTGGATACGAACCTACCAGCGTTTGCACGAAAACAACTGTGCAAAGTTCTGAACAGTCCACTTCAGAAAACGGAGCACCACCTGTCGTACAGGTAAATATACATATATATTTGATATATTTGTTTTACATAACATTTTTATGTAAAAGAAATAGCTTTTGCTTGCTTCATTTTTATATCAAGTATTTGCGAACACATGTAAACGTTGTGTAATGTATCGATCAATTAAAAATATTATCTTCCAGTCTCACAAGATTGAGGAGTATGAAAAAATCGTACAAGAGCAACCTGGCGAGATGAGACAAGAGAAAACCGTTCTCGTGTCTGAAGAAACAGAAGGTGTGAAACACGATGTTAAGACAGATCAAATTAAAAAACCATCTAGGAAACTAATAGCACCAAGATTTATTTCACCGATTACAGGAATGATTGTCGATCAAGGAACTGATGTAGTTCTCGAAGGTATCATTGATGGTGAGTCGACGTTTCACATTATATCTAAATTATATAATTTATATTTAAAAATTGCAATTTTTTGTAAATATATACATACATACATACGTACATACATACATACATACATACATACATACATACATACATACATATATAT